AAAAAAACCCTGGAAAAATAGCCTACAATTATACATAAATAAGGAAATAAAAGTATAAATACTCATTAATTTATTTTTTCAACATGTCTTCATATTTATTATTATGTCAGATTTGTAATTCCATACCTGAGGGAAGACGTGATCAAAACGCTGTCTTTCATTATTGTAAGTTAATGTTGTTAAATTGAGAAAAACTTTTTACATTTAACTTCTATAGCATATTCAAACACAAAATAACCATTAAAGTCTCAGTCACCAAAAGCAGCCCATAATAACTCTTTAATTGAAAAATGTTTCATTGTCATTCATTCATACATGGTTGCAACAACATTTAGTTCAATCTTTTCAGTGCCGTCGTTTAAAAATGCTTTATTGACTGAATAACACGTTCAGTTGTTATGCTTTAAAATGCTGTGCTATATGTATCTATGTGTCTTCCTAAAAAAAAAAAGCATTTAAAACCGTTTTAAATAGAGGTTGATGATGTTATATATTCACAAACCCACGTCCTAACTTACAATCAACTCGGCTGCACAAGTCATTTCACATTAAATGACATTAAACTGAAAATGAGCTGAATACTGTTTAACTTGTGTAAACCAAAAAGACAGTCACAGTTCTATAGTGGTACAATTTGCTTAGACCGATGGTTTAACATGTGATTTTTGACATTATAATTAGTTTTAGAATAAAATTGTACATGAATAGGGTTAAGCAAAACAAATGTGTTTATGTCTGAGAACCTTTTATAGGAATATATGGCATACACTGTGTGGTACATAAAGACTTTCAGTGTCCCTTTCTGTCCCTTATTCTCCTCTATAATGAACCATGATTGTCCATTATTCCCATTTTCTGAAGTTGGCAACACTATTCATGACTGATTTCAAAACGGTAAACAAGAGCTGCTTTGTCTACGGTTTGCATCTCTGCGGTTCTAGTTTCGTTTCCCTTTTAGAAAGATGGAAATAGACTATTGAATCTATTTCCTGTGACGTTAAACCAGGACAAAACTGAAACCCTAAAGGAAAAATAGAAATGCTGTTTACTAGTTTAGCTGTAATTGGTGCCCTTGATTAAATACAAGTCTTGGATTCAGATCTAAGCTTCAAGTCTCATATTAGTAAGGCGATGAAACTGTTTTAGTTGTGGTTAGTTTAGTTTCATTGCTTTGCTCTGGCTTCCAGTGCATTTTAAGCTTTAAGGTCCTTCTCTTTGCATAGAAAGCCTGTAATGGGAAAGGACTAAGCTTCATTACTAATTCCCATGATCATCACGTGGCTTGAAGAGCGCTGAGATCTTCTGCTGTTGGTTTACTGGTCTCCTAACCAGCCGAAAACACATACACATCAGATATAATCTTTATTCCTATATAAATAATCCTAAAAAGCACGCAAACCATTGAGGTTTGTTCAAGTGTGCTCAAGCCGAGTTTGTGTGTTGATCAATGTTTATATGTGAATAAAAGGCTAAATTAAATCTGTTCATCATGAAAAGTCTCTTCAGAAGATTTGGACTACATTGCTTGATTCATATGGATTAGTTTTACCATGACTTCGGCCCTGTTTACAGCTGGTATTAAGATGTTTTGGTCGATCGGATCACAGGTGGACGACTCTAAATACAGGAGTAAACGGGTCTAAAACGCTTCGAGCTCGTCCAGTTTCCTCCACTCAGAGTTAGTTGAAAACACATTCGGCCGGATTGCTTTCGTAGTGTAAACGCTCATGTGATCGAATGTGTTCAAACAGCCACTAAAGGCCGTCTTCTCTCCGGCTGCTGATGTAATGCGGGAACATTATGGGAAGAGCGATCGCCAGACGGGGTTTAAACTGAAGACTGGAGACTCAAGTTTGGGTTAAAGATGGAAAATGTACCAAGCTCAATGTTCTCTCTCCATTCCTGATGTCACACACACACACACACACACACACACACACACACACACACACACACACACTCTCGCGTCTGTCAGAGCAGAAACTGAAGCTGATGTTCTCTGTGTGTTTCTCCGTCATCTCCGGTCGCGCTCATATGTAAAGTATATGAGCTTATTGTCCATTACATTGAAAGATCTGGAAAACCCCCAAACATTTACTCACCCATAGACCCTCTGCTCGAAGAAATCAGGACAGAAGTGTTTGAAAGTGGACAGAAGAGACGGATTAAAACACCAGGTGTAAACGGGAATGTGTCTCTCGTCTACTTGTGATCCAATCGACTAAAACGCATCCTAATATCAGCTGTAAACAGGGCCTTTATGTGCTTTTTTGAAGCTTGAAAATAACCCTGCATAGTCTTCACTTCAACAATATATAGATTAATCCTTTTAAAATCACAAAAGTGGTTCAGTCAAGATCAGTGAGAGATTTTCTCTTAGATTAGGTTAATGACACAGACATCAGGTTTATTAGGCTACTGTCACTTTAAGAGTGAATACATGGAACCAATACACTGTTACACATCTTTTCTTTCTCAACTGTTTACGTTCATAACTGTCATAACCAACTGTGTTTATGAGGACATTTTGACATGATCTTGTGTGAATTTTTCTGTTCAAGCGCAATAAGACTCAAAAGAGATCTCAATTCAGTTTTCACACACACATGAGAGGCGACTTCCCAGAAAACAGCGTTCGAGTGCTGAATTTAATTCTCTTTTGCGTCTTGAATGCATGTTTTCAAATCACATGAAAATTCACAAACATTTTAATTTTAAAACAAGTTTCCGATTCCTGAACTGGATGCATTTTTATTCACTAACATTAACAAATTGAATTATTGCTGTAAAAAAATATATGCATTAACAAATAAGACCTTATTGTAAAGTATTGCCGAGTTTTTCATTGCTAGAATTAAGTGTACTGTTAACCTTTGAGAATCTTCAGATTAATAATGAATCAATAATGTCAGTTGATTTTATAAATGTTAATAAATAGTGTTTCTGTATCCTAAGTTAGTTCAAGAAACTCTCTGTCTACTGAATGAAATTCATCTTGGACTCGTGGTCTTCGCTGTGTATACTGTTCTGCTGCGTTTCTCATTATATATTAGATGTATAGAAGTGTAATCGTGAAAGGCACATGCTGGGTAACCCTTACAAAAAAAAAGTATAGCCTACTTCAAGTTCATTTTATTAAGTATACTAATATCAATGTACTAGTAGCATACTTTACTGTACTGTTTCAATACTACGTGGGACTAAATTGCCTGACCTTTTAGAGTATAAAAGTATACTTTTACGTATAGTGCACAACTAGTTTACATCTACGTTTTTTGTTTGTACTGCAAATACTACAAGTAAACTTACAGGTATACTGATATAAATACTTAAAGCACATTATTTAGTTTATGAAAGTACACTTTGAAGTATACCCTCAGTGAACTACTGGTTAAGTATACTTAAGTGAACTTGACATCATACTTGTAGTTTTTATATTTTATTATTGCACTTTGGAGATGCGATCCGGTGCGACTTGCATGTGAACACGGCCCAAATAAAGCTCAGCGAGTTCACTTTCTGCCGATTTAAAGCTGTGTTGAGATACTACAGAAGTGCACTGGGGTTAAACAGCACATCACCATCTACTGTTACAAGACAGTAAATCTATGTGAAAATAAGTATTGATAGGCTTCTCAATCAAAAGAGTTAACGCAACTACCAGCCAACTACAATACCCTAGTGAAAAAAACCTATACCAAAATGTATTTAAAATACATTTATTTCATACTAAGTATACTACAAACCCATTAACATTTACTGACATATCGCTTGAGACTTGCTGATATAAATATTATAATCAACTTTATTTAGAGTACTTCTTTATTGCACAATGCACATTTCTTAATATTAAGCCTGAAATGTGTTTTCATATCACTATTAGTGAGGATGGTGTGATTTCTGTATAATATCAGTCTTTAAATGCAAGATATTTAAAGTGTATCTAAAGTATACTTGCAATAGTTCCACTTTAGCACAATCAAATATACTTCAGTATATCATTAGTTGAACTTCAGCACTATTTCTAGATAACTAAAGCACATTAAGTGCAAAACTAGTTGTTCCAGTTTAGCAGACTTTAAGTACATAAATAGTACACCAACAGTACAATTGCAGGGTATAATAAGTACATAAATATGTAAATGTATTTGTAGTATGCTTATATAGTATGCTCATGTATTTCAAATACATTTTAGTGTATTTATTTTTCACTAGGGTACTTAGACTTTTCTATCAGTATAAGTCAAGTATACTGAAGTGTAATTTTACGTATATTTCTGAGAATAGTATACTTTCTAATTTTTAGTTTAAAAGATGTATACTAATTAGGGCCGGGACTCGATTAAAAAAAATTAATCTAATTAATTAGAGGCTTTGTAATTAATTAATCGAAATTAATCGCATTTTAATTGCATAATTATTTGACCTGAGAACAGTGAGAAGTAATTTTTTTCACATGGATTTTTAGTATACCATTGAATAATGACTGAATACGCTTAAGCAACAAAATATTGTTTATTTTTGTTCAACCAAGTCCAGCAGACCAGTGCAATTTTTGCCATTAAGTGTAGCAATAGCATATTGCTACACTACACTAATAGCAATAGCGAATTCCTTGTTGCATAGCTTGCACACAACCATGCTCTTATCGACGCTTCCATCCGTTCGTTTTTTGTAACAAAATTTCCCATCCACCGGCCAACCAAAGCGATCTCGTCAGCTTCTTCGTCATGAACGCTAGTTGGTGCGCCAGTATAATCGGTCCGCCGAAACTCATCCAGTGAGAAACGTTCCGCGGTGCAAAAATAAGTGCGATTAAAAATATTTTTTTGTGTAATTAATTAACGCGTTAAAGTCTGTAATTAATTAATCTTAATTAACGCGTTAAAGTCCCGGCCCTAATACTAATAGCACACTTATTTTTTTGTAAGGGAAGCAGTGAGCATAAATTCAAGTATTGCATGATGTAAAATCAAGTTGCAGTGCATAGTATCCGTTCTTTTCCCTTTGGCTTTTCAGACGATGTTTCATTTCAGGAGTCTCTCCCCAACAGTGTCCCGAGAAGCGCTCTTACTTTGCAGACCCCAAGAGACGTCCGCGCGCCCAGCCATGAGCACGGGGCGGTGGAGTGCACTTGTGTCCAGTACTGCACCATGTCCCCTGGTTTGGTGTGGTGGACCGACACCATAGTCTGATAGCAACAACGGCTGAATGGTACAGCGGGTCCTCCGGAGAAGAGTGGGGAATGGGTCGGTGTAATCCCTGCGGTGTGAGCACAAATCCCTACAAACACATCCTCAGGTGGCAATGGACTGGGTAATTGTATGGCAACCGCCGCTAATGACAGCTTGAGCAACGCCGGTCGAGAAAGTACATACGCCGTCCCGCTGCAGTAATCCGGAAAAACCACGCCAGCGTATGCCGTTTCTGACATGAAGTGTCTGCTGGAAGGATTGCGATCCGGTGCGACTTGCATGTGAACACGACCCAAATAAAGCTCAGCGAGTTCACTTTCTGCCGTTTTAAAGCTGTGGTTGAGATACTGCAGAAGTGCACTGGGGTTAAACAGCACATCATCATCTACTTTTGCCAGATAGCGAGCCTGTGGGCAGAAACGGCGCGCCCATCCCAGTATAGACAGAGTTTTAAGGGTTAAGTTGGCGTAGGAGTCAATGAAGCGACCCTGTATGAGATCCCCGCGCTCCTTTGACTCTTCCACCAATTCTTTCCCGAGAACCGGGTCCGACGGCTGACCGACGGCGAAGAGCGTCAGGACTCGGTGACCCCTGACGTGTATTTCCCCACCCCAGCTGTCCCGAATGGCTTGGCGGGCCTTTCTGTTGGGAGGTGCGGATACAACCAGAGCGACGAGGAAAGGTTTGGCACGTTCGCAGACGTGGACGCTCGGCATAAGCAGGTACTCTTCCGAACGGGTTGGAGGAATACTGTGTGGAAGAACCAGTCTATGAAACCCTTCCACTTTGCTCATGCCCAGCGAGGTCACCCATAATTCAATGACGTCGATAAAGAGTAAAGCAAGTAAAGAGCCACAGAAGATTATAATGCAGAGGTAATGGATGAACCCTAAATGACCTCCTCGCTTCCCAATGCGACCCTTACAGATCCTAAAACTAGACCCTACCATTTTTACAGATCACAGGGCAAACTTCTTCAATGCTCCTTTTTGGGTATGATTATACATTTAGATCCAGTGAAGGGACAAAAAGATGCATGGTGTCCAGTTGTGCTTTTCTCTGCTATGTTGCACTGCCAACTGCAAGAGGAAAAAAAGATGAACAGGTTATTGGTTAATGGCTGATATCAAGAGCAAAAATGATATTCTTTAACTTATAAGTTTGAGTTCGGTAAGATTTTTTGTGTTTTTGAAAGAAGTCTGTTCTGCTCACCATGCAAGGCTTCATTTACTGGATCAAATATACAATGAAAGCAGTGAAATATGTGAATATATAGTAAAGAGTAATTTATTTCTGTGATCAAAGCTGAATTTTCAGCATCAGCAATTTTCAGCATTGTATTGTCTTCCGGTTCTGTTGTGGATCCGCGTTCAGTGCCGCTGCTGACGTGTGTGTGTGTGTGTGTGTGTGTGTGTATTCTGGTTCTGTTGTGGATCCGCGTTCAGTGCCGCCGCTGACGTAAGACGCTGCTGACGTGTGTCTGGTGTGTGTGTGTGTGTGTGTGTGTGTGTATTCTGGTTCTGTTGTGGATCCGCGTTCAGTGCCGCCGCTGACGTAAGACGCTGCTGACGTGTGTCTGGTGTGTGTGAGTGTGTGTGTGTGTGTATTCGGGTTCTGTTGTGGATCCGCGTTCAGTGCCGCTGCTGACGTGTGTGTGTGTGTATTCGGGTTCAAATAAATATGGCTGGGCAAAAAAATGCAAGTCTTCCTCTGTGTGGAAATCCTTAGACATGTTTGTGAAGATTGTTTTGTTTCCAGCGTGTGTCTCCCTCAGACTGTAGACGAAGCTCGGGCGCACCAGACACACGTCAGCAGCGTCTTACGTCACACACACACACACACACACACACACCAGACACACGTCAGCAGCGTCTTACGTCAGCAGCGGCACTGAACGCGGATCCACAACAGAAACAGAATACACACACACACACACACACACCAGACACACGTCAGCAGCGGCACTGAACGCGGATCCACAACAGAACCAGAATACACACACACACACACACCAGACACACGTCAGCAGCGGCACTGAACGCGGATCCACAACAGAACCAGAATACACACACACACACACACCAGACACACGTCAGCGGCGGCACTGAACGCGGATCCACAACAGAACCAGAATACACACACACACACACACCAGACACACGTCAGCGGCGGCACTGAACGCGGATCCACAACAGAACCAGAATACACACACACACACACACCAGACACACGTCAGCAGCGTCTTACGTCAGCGGCGGCACTGAACGCGGATCCACAACAGAACCAGAATACACACACACACACACACACACACACACACCAGACACACGTCTGCAGCGGCACTGAACGCGGATCCACAACAGAACCGGAAGACAATACAATGCTGAATAAAGTCCTAGTTTTTGTTATTTTTGGACCAAAATGTATTTTCGATGCTTCAACACACTCTAACTAACCCACTGATGTCACATGGACTACTTTGATGATGTCTTTATTTCCTTTCTGGACAAGGACAGTATACCGTACACACATTTACAATGGAGGGACAGAAAGCTCTCGGACTAAATCTAAAATATCTTAAACTGTGTCCCGAAGATGAACGGAGGTCTGACGGGCTTGGGACGACATGAGGGAGAGTCATTAATGACATCATTTTCCTTTTTGGGTGAACTAACCCTTTAATGGATTACCATCTTTCTATCGTGGACTTTTTAAAGTTTGGAGACATGTTGTCATTCATACACTGGAGAAAACAGACTCTTTGTTCTGGTTGCTTGAAGAACCCCTGGTTAAAGGAGCTAGGCTTGATGTAACAGGCGAGAGCGTGATGGGTCTCTGTGCACCTCCAAACATGTTCAATTGAAGCATATAGTTGATGTGGCCGGGCCTGAACTGAATGATATTAATGCAGTGGCTATACTTTGCTGGGGCAGAGATCAACTCGCCAAACTGCAAAAATAATTGAACCTTGGAAAAAAAAAATGACCAGATAATGATTTAAAGTTGTTAAAAGGATTTGAAGATGGGTCTGTAAGTTTGGATGAGACTGATTCCTTTCCAAAACTTGGTCTTACACCAGATTTTAAAGAAGCAACAGGACCGTTATTGGATTTGAAAGGTTTAATGGATTTGGACTTGACCATTTTGGGGGGTAAATTGATGTACAAATGTTTCGTAAAAGACAAAACAATGTTAGACAAAAGAACCGACACCGTGTGGAGAAGTAAACTTGCAATAGGTGAGGAAGTAAAATACCGTGTGGAGGGTGCTGTATAAACCACCATTGATAAAACGTGTTGGTGATTTACAGTGGAGAATTGTACATGGTGTTGTGCCAGTAAATGCTTTTATATCTGTTATCAATCCTAATGTTGATGATAAGTGTATTTTTTTGTGGACATAGAGAGACTGTATTTCATTGCTATTCAGAATATGAAAGATTGATGCTATTGTTGTCATGATCCTGGCTCTCTTTCTCCTTACTCGGTCTCCCCCATTTGGACACACACACACACACACACACACACATACACACTCGCTGATTACCACACCATTCATCACGCACACACGTCTCTCTCATCACCCCCAGCTGTTTCCACTCTCTACTCGTTATCATGTTCTACTCGTTATCATCACCGAGATCGCTCTGCTGTCTGAATGGAGGATCTAAGTTACTTTCTGTCAAACCTGTTTCTCTGGAAGACTTTTATTTTACATTTATTGGTTTCACTTTATTTGGATGGTCCCTTTAACACATTCAGTTGACTATCACGTTGCACCTACATCTCTACTAACTCTCACTAGAGTGCTAGTAGAGTATTAGTAGACTGGTAGGGTTAGGGATAGAATAAGTTGACATGTAGTTGCAAAGTGACTTATAGTCAGTATAATGTCTGTTGGAGGAGCATCACAATATAGAGTTAGCAGATATTAAGCAGACAGTCTACTAATACTCTAATGAGAGTTAGTTGACATGTAGTTGCAAAGTTACATAGTCCACAGAATGTTCAAAAGGGACCGTCAAAATAAAGTGTTACCCATTTGTTTTATATACTGAAGATTTCTGTTATAAACCTCTGGGGCCGTATTCACAAAGACTTTTAATGCCTGGTTCAGATTACACGATTTTAGCCCGATTTTGGCACGATCCGTTTGACGTAGGGTGTCGTGGGGATTCGCAAACGAGAACGGGCGTCGGGACGCAAGATTCGATCGTATCATCTCGTATAGTGTGTCATAGTGGGCGACAACCTACGTCGCGACGCTTCACGACAAAAAGACTAGCATGTTTAATTTTTTTAACGGTCGTCCACGACGGGTTCCGTCACATGTATGAGGTTGACCAATAGGAGCACAGAAGCTTTTCCGTACACAACTTTCAAAAATGGCGAAACGAAAGAGAGACGATTGTGCTACTAGGTGGAGTTATGACTTGGAGGAAAGGTTCAGGAGCTGTGGCAACAGTAACAGAAAACAATATTTTACCTCAAGTTCTCTTTGGAGGATTGACAGCCCATACTGTCCTCTTCGAGCAATCCAGGAACGTGTCCATTGTCGGGTTTTCTTTATTTTTTTACGTTTTTCTGAACACAGGACAGCCAACACTCACCGCTTCATCCATTGTTTGTTTACGTTCGTTTCCGGAAGTCACTTGCTACTAGTTTCGCCTTCTCGATGACATCACACGCGGCGTTAAAGACGGCACGCGATGACTGGTCAGGAAGCAACGTGTAGTCTGACATGTTTCTTGTCCACGACACGACAAGATTTTAGGAGTCAAAATCGCGTAATCTGACACAGTGACTATCGTAACAGACAAAAAAAAATCGTGTAATCTGAACCAGGCATAAGGCTAAAAGTAGCTCCTAACTGGCGAATTTAGGAGCAACTCCTAAAAACAAAGGGCGTGTCACTCCTAACTTTAGGACTCCTAATTTTTTTCACTAAGAGTAATTCACGAAGCATTTTAGCCCTAAAAGTAGCACCTAAGTCTGGGACAGCTTAAAAGAAGTCTAGAGGACTCCTAACTCACTAAGACCTATTCACAAAGGATTAGCGCGTATACCACCGCCTCTCGCAGTCGTCCGGGGTCCGCGACACAAGCGGGAATGCTGCGTTGATCTGCAAACAAATCCTCTCCCATGTCTCATGCTTAGTTTTGCTTGATATCCCAGTCCCGAATTTCCCTTTTATGTTTTTTTTTGTTTTTCCAGCACCAGCTGGGCCAGCAGCAGTAACTGATCCTGCGTCCAGTTGGGCTTTCTTTTCCGTTTTGTCGAGTTCATAATCCACTGTCATTCAACTATTACATTACTTCAATTGGAGCAACATTTCCTTGCTTTTAGGCTAATAGGATGTCAATTAACCAAACAAGTGTTAATGCAAGTGTCGTTTTTCATTATAAGGCAAGTGGCTGGCTATAGGCAGAATCAAAAGATAAAATGGCAGTTGATAAATTTTGTGGTAGGTCAAGCAAAACTTGCTTATTACAAGGAGAAATACAATTGGGAATACACATGGTCAGGAGCTTTTGCCTGTTTTCAAAGCTTTTGTAAAGTCTAGAATCACAATAGATTTTAGGTATTATAGAGCAATGGGGAGGGAGAGTTGTGTTTTGATATTTTGTGGTGTTAACTTTTTGATTAATTGAAGTGATGTAATAAAGTTGTTTTGTAAAAATAAAATCTCTCTCTCTGTCAGAACCGTTACACGCACACTGTACGCAAGCCTTAGTGTATATGTTTAAAAAGCAAAGCATACTTTAGGCTTACAGTTTTTTACACACATTTCCAAACCTTTGCCTCTTTTTTTCAAAACTTTACACACAAATCCAAGAATTGCACACACAAAATGCAAAATGCATTTCTTGCAAAATGAAGCACTGCATTAAAAACAATACACACACACACATAGGCGTCATTTACGGGGGGGACATGTCCCCACCACTATTTGCCAGGGTCGATTTTGTCCCCACCACTTTTGAAACATCTCGTGATACGGATGTACCAATACAAGTAAAACATCTCCAGTTAACTAGCAGAGCATTCATTTAGTTTGTTTGTTAAATAAGAGGCGATCT